CAGCGCAGCTGGCGCGGGCAGTGTCGGGTGGATTTTCTGAGGTTTTGATGCCTGCCAAGGACTTCATTGCGTCGGTGATCTCGGACGAGGTGTACGTGGGTGGAAAGGGCTCAGTTTTTAACCCCCCGAGTCAATAAACGGCGCTTGGCTGCTGTCTGAGCAGCCTGTCGTGTTGGGAGCTCACGCAGAATCCCTTTGACATTTGAAAATAAGATCTAGTAAATAGGAGCTGGACTATCCCAGGTGCATCTCTTGTCGTAAGGAGTCTCTGACAGCACGGCTGGCATTTTAGATTTAGGGCTGCATGAGAGGCATGATTTTGTAGCGAGCGCGACGCTTTTCTGGAGGATACAGTCCAAGGCGGTGACTCATCTTGATGCTCTAAAGAAAAAATTGCTTGTATGGAAATGCAGGATAAATGTTTTGATTTTTAGAGCTTTCCTCATAGGCGGTGCTATCCTGGAAGGAGGCAAAATAAATCCGCAGGAAGGAGAGCCGCAGGAAAAGGGAGGACAGCTCCGGGGTGTTTGCTCAGCGGAATTTACTGCTCCTCTTGCAGCGTCGCGTCTCTGCGCGCGGCCGCGAAGGTCGTCTCCGTAGCCAGGCGCGTCGCGGCCGGAACGTGTAGGAACAGGTATAGGAGCTGCTGTGCTCTGGCCGAGCAGCTTCCAGGGAAACCCCTCGGCAGTGCTGCGTGCTGAGGTGTGACGGTGGCTCGTCCCCTTAATTTATCCTAACAAGGGTAATCGAGGATGCTCTGGCTGCTCCGTCCTCTCGATTCGCTAACTAACTCCCTGTTTGTAGGCTATCGTATCCCAACAAATCCAACGTGATTAAGAGCCCGGTTCCGCTGAACTCGTTCCACTTTGGCAACCCCTGTCTCTGATATCTCAGACTTCGATCTCGCTTGTTTTCTCATGGAGGACCTGTCAGTAACGAGACAGGATGTGGCCGTGGCCTTGAAGGGCCATCATGATGTGGGTACGGAATGATCCCCGTTTCCCCAGGAGCAGAGTTCTGGAATGAGCTTCCTTGCCTCCGTACAGATTGCCTGAAGTGCATCGTGCGCATCCGAAGCTGCTACGCGGTGTTTGGGCAGCAAAAATACAAACCCGTCGCATTTGATGTCACACTTCATGATTCATGTCCAAGGTTTTGGAAAACATTCAATCAATCCGGACCAGGGAGAAGATGGGAAGCGAAAGGCTCCGTTTTCTGAATGCCCCTTTTTGGTCCGTAGCTGCACGGTGCTGTCAGTCAGGCTGCAGCAGGTTGGCAATTTGTCATCTAATAAAGAGAATAAAGAGAAAAGCAACAGCTTGACCCGTTCCGTCTGGGAGACCGGCAAAGCCGCTTCGCGGGAGTTGGAGCAAGTTCTCCCAAACACTTGGTTTGTCCTTGTGTCCCTTAAGACATTGGGGTCTGACTTGGGTGTGTGGTGAGTTGGGGTAGCTGGTCTCTGTTGCCCACTTGGCTGGTGGGACACTAGTCTCCACCTGTGACATCTAGTGATAGGGGCCGAGGCGGCTGAACCAGCTCATGCCAAAGCCTCAACCACATGGTAGCGAATGGAGTGTCCTTGGGCTACCAGCCCTCGGCTGGACCCACCTTGGAGTTGGTTCTTGCTGGACACAGTGCAGCTGGTGAAGAGATTTGGCCCTAAACTCGAGCTCGAGGAGTCTCCTAGGCGGTGGCACGGGTAGAGGGCCCTGCTGCGGCGAGGGCACGCGTGCCCCGCAGCTCTGCTCGAAGCCGGAGCAGCGCAGTTTACTGGCAGGCTGGTGCCCGTCGCCGGGTGCCTGAGCTCCTGCTCGGAGCCTTCTGGAGGATGCGCCGAGGAGCTGCCAAGCGGGACATATGGCGAGTTTTGGGGCAGGCTGCGGAGTTGAGTGACGTCTGTTGGCAACCTGGGCTTGAGCAAGCGGAGAGGAGGATTTAGCTGCACGCGACGTTGTTCTCCAAAACGCTCTCCTGCCAGGCGGCCGGTCTCGCTGGAGCCCGGTGTGGCTCCCGCCGGTTTGGCGGGGGGGGGAGGGGGGTCT